ATAGTTAATTAAAGGCTGTGATTCAGGTTTATCATGAAGAAATTTTCATATTGTTCTATTTTTTTTTTTTTGAAAATATCCTTTTCTTTTAGAAATGATCTGAAACGTAATGAGAGGATGAGAGTAACAAGATTGAAATTAATCTGATTGGCGTTGAGAATTTACATGCAAGATTAATTTTATTGGCTAATTGATGTCGTAGAAATTCCGTGGAATTAAGCTCGATATTACCTATCAGTTTTCCGTCAATACTATCTATACTATTTAAGGGAGAATACTTTAGAGACGATCTTTTTCGATAAATAGAAGCATTCTACTGTAATCAGGCTATACAAGCGGTAATTAAAGAATATTTACAGGATTTCTTATTCAAGCAACAAGATTTTCTTTATCAACATCAATTTTTTTTTTAACGGAATTAACGGAAAGATGATCAAAGATTTTTTTCCGGTTTGCTCCTTATTTAATATCTTTTTTTTTTCTTGCTTCGTTTATAGGTAAAATTCTTTTTTTTTTTTTGACTCTTCAAAATTTACAATTAAACGATTGTCTAGATCAATCCATTACTTTTCCACTGATAGACAATGTTTTTCTTATCATACTATAAAAATTTACCGATTATATTATATCAATACATATGTTATTGATAACATGATAACAAAATGTCACAACAAACAAAACAAACAAATGATAAGCATATTGCATCCTATCAAATTATATAATTTGATCACAAATTATTCAATGTAAAGTTAGATCCTTAGATCCTTTACATATATAAAAAAAAAATGATTTATAAAAAAAAAGAATCGTTTTTTTTTATTCCGTTCAAAAATTTTTTTTGAATTCATAAAAAAAAATTATTTATTAAGCAGTATAAAGTATTAATTAAATTTTTTTAATGCAAAAATAATAATTACGTCTAAAATTTATTGGTAGATATTAAAAAAAAAAATTAAATCTTTCTTTGAATAATGTAATACATAAAAAATATAACTTTTTAGTTATAATAAAAAATTTTGATGGGGATAATAAAAGATGATATCTCCGCGAAAGTGACCATCAAACTTTATTCAACTTAAACAGATGTTCAAGAAATTTCCTTTTTCGGTAAAGTACGGTAAAATTTGACAATTATTTATGGGGGTTCAAATGTGGGGTTTGATGTTTGTGGGGTCGGAGAAATAATTTATGAGTGGGGTGCAGTTACCCACATAAACTATAAACACAGCTAACAATTCTCCTTTTTCGGTAATTATTTATGGGGTTCAGATGTGGGGGTTGATGTTTGTGGGGTCAAAGAAAATAATTTATGAGTGGGGTGCAGTTGCCCACATAAACTATAAACACGGATAACGATTGCTTTTCTTTCCGAACATTATCTCTAACAATCTTAATTTAGCTTAAAATGTGCCGATCATAGATTTTGTTGATTATGTTACGTATTTTATAGTAAAAAAATAATATAAAAAGGTTCATTGTTTTATCTCCATCGCAACTAAGAAATTTTAATTCATTAATAATAGATATAACAACAAACATAATTTGTGAAATCTATTAAAAATGAATAATAATAACTTTAATAACTTTACCAATAATGGATTTAATAGTAATTTACATTCTGAAATCATTACATTTGATATTCCGGGGATAAAAATTATAGTTATACCTACCTTTTTCCAAACGAATAATTCTGAAATCTTTACGATTGATATACCAGGGTCCAAAATTATCATTATCGTACTTTCTTTCCAATGATTGATTCCTTTAAATGAACCTTTCTAAATCCTTCTCAAGACCTAACTTATTCGTTTACTTGAAACTCATATTGTATTGTATGCGACTACGCGTATTATTATCATAGTTTTTTTATCAACTTTTTTATCCTTTATCAGCTTTTTTTATCCTTATTAACAGCTTTTTTTATCCTTATTAACAGCTTTTTTTTTATCCTTTATTAACAGCTTTTTTTATCCTTTATTAACAGCTTTTTTATCCTTTATTAACCTTTATTAACAGCTTTTTATCCTTTATTATCATCTTTTTTTATCTTTTTTTTATCTTTTATCAACTTTTTTTATTTTATTTTTATCTTTTATTACTTTTTTTTATATATATATTTTATCAACTTTTTTTACTTTTTTTATATATTTATCAACTTTTTTTTACTTTTTTTATATATTTTATCAACTTTTTTTACCTTTTTTTTTTTATCTTTTTATCAACTTTTTTTACTTTTATCATTTATCAACATTTTTTACTTTTTTTTTNTAGTCTTCATTGCGTACACTGGGTATTCATTAGGTCTTCATTGGGTACATTGAGTCTTCATTGGTCCTCATTGCGTACATTGAGTCTTCATTGATCTTCATTGCGTACATTGAGTATTCATTGGGTCTTCATTGCGTATTGTTGGGTTTTCTGTTATAATTTGCTATATATGATGATTCATCATTGCGAGATACGACCTCGCGAACGATCATGAGTATAGAATAAGTGGTTGGCGAATATAGTATATTTCTCTTACCAAAGGTTGCTATAACGCATTGGGGTTGTTATATACTTAAATCTTGATCAGCCGTTTTTGTAGCGTCGTTTTTTAGCGCTATATATTTATTCCGACATCAGTCGTAAAATAGATTAGTCCATCATCATCATCATTGAGAACGATTACGGGATATCGAACTGAGTGTTCAAAAAAATGATTGTTCTTTATTCTAAAGTTTTTCTCTTACTTTGGATTTATACTTATTTGACATCTTTTGACACGATTGTTTATTGTTATTAGGTCATTTGATTCAAAAGATCAACTATTGAGATTTGAGCCTCGTTATTCAATTTATTTACATTTTCTTGGAATTATAAAGTATGTAATCAAAAATTTAAATCATTTATTTATTACTGATTTAATATATACATGATTTATATATTTACTATCTAACATATTTACTAATATATTTTACTATTTATAATATTTACTATTTATCATATTTACTATCTAACATATTTACTATTTATCAAATTTACTATCTAACACATTTACTATTTATCATATTTACTATTTATCATATTTATCATATTTACGAATTGAAAGTCAAAAAAGAAAAAAAAAATACTCATATATAGTGTATATATAGTCTCTTATACACATCTAGATGTGTATAAGAGACAGGTGATATATAGATAATAATATTAATATCGTTGCGACATTGACCTTCTTCCATTTATCACTATATGAATTCAAAAATCAAAATAAATAAAAAATGAAAAGAATAAAGGTATCAAAATCTGTATATGTATTTTTCTTTAAAGTAATAACAAGGTTAAATATTTACATATTTTTAATAATATTTACTTCTTTAGAGTTTTAATAATACAGTATCGTATTTTACTTTCATGTTCTATTCATTTGAATTAAAAAATAAACCCTTATGAGCATGAATTATAGTAGTTACATTATAATTTTGTAATAATTTTCAAATAACATATTGATTGAAGGTAGTAATTGAATTTCATTAGCCTTTTTTTTTGCTGATTTTTCTCCTGCTATAAATCCAGGTTTATCAATGACACTCAAGCTCCTTGGCCATTAGTCTGGAAACAGCAAAAATTATCGATTTGTTAATGTAAGCTTAAACATTCCCTCCAAATAAGTGTAAATCTGATATAATTTAAGGCATGTTGTGTGTTTTTCTGACATTATTACCAAACCATGTATTTGAATGGCCGCAAGTGCCAATCAAACCTTCCTTCGTTTTAAGAAAATTCGTTAACATGATGTGAAGATCTGGTATAACTTGGGAAAATTTGATATATTACAGTAAATTGTCATTTTATATATATTTTATATATTTTTTATATTTTTTATAGACTTCATTAATTAAACGGCATACAGCCTTTTAACATAAACAAAAAAGGCGCATGAATAAATTTGATATGCACCTTTTAATATTTCATCTATGCATAATTTTTGATAAACATTGGGTAATTGAAACAAGATTTTTTAGTTATTATTAATTGAATTAATAATACTGCTGCGCCAAAGGAGTCCCTGTCAGCATATGATAAATTCCTTAAAGAATGTGCACTTTATTCATGTTGATATTTTGTTGAATATCTTAAAGAACATTTGAAGATTCTAAGATAAATCGGTAAATCGGAAGTTTGATATTGATAAAAAGCAAAGTATCAGTTGCGTTATTTATTTATCCCGATCAGTATTGATTCTATGGTCATCTGCTGTCCGTCCGGCACGTGATGAATGCGCAAATAATAACTGCGCTTCGGACTTGGTTTCAAGTAAAAATAATAAATTATTCCAAACATATGAAGTGATAAATTTTGTTTATTCTTGAAACAATTTATAAAGCTGAATTAAAAAAAATTGTTTGGGTCATTACAGTGAGATTATTACTATGAGATTCTTGTTCTATACGATATGTAGTAATTTATTTCTTCATATATAAGTGACAAACTTTTAGACGTTATCAAAGTCTACTATAATTATGTTAAGCAATGAACAATAGATTGCTAGTAGATGGAAAATATGAATTCATAAATTTAGTTAATTTTGTTTCAATAATTTATTCTGAAATTATTCTTGCAATCTGTAGGCAAATTTGATTTCTCCCCAAAAAAAGTGTTATGTGTGGTAACATACATATTTGGAAATTTAGAAAAGAATGGTAATTTGTATTAACATAAGAAGTTACCCTGTATGAAAAAAAATAAATATTTACACTTTTACGGTCTAGCTTTTAAATGCCATGAAAAAAAGTTAAACCCTTTAGTTACTATTTGGTTTAGTCGATAAAAAGATTACCGCCATTGTAAAGAAGCCCCATGATCGTAGCTAATTTAGATGTGATTGACATATCAACCAATTAAATTCACTCGTACTTTATATAAAAATAAATGATATAAAAATGGATATAAAAGAGTTCACTTCTCAGTTCCATCAGAACTTTTCCACAGAAAAATAAATTTATAAACTCTATTAACAAATGGATAACAATTATAATTTCAACTTTATTGATGATGGGGATATACGACCGCAAACAACTGATTCTCAAACAGAAAATCCAAATGTTAATTACAATAATAGTTGTTTCATGATGAATACCAATACACCTGATAGCGTTACTAATATGTCTTCACAATCTTATCCTATCGCTTCATCAGATCTCTCATTCCCTTTACCGCAGTATACTCAACAAATTCAACAAGCTCAACAACCTATTTATCAACAAAATAATACTGAAAATAACATTCAACAACAATTGTTCGACACTACTCAGCCTATTTCTCTGAATGTACCGCATTTCGTTCAAAATAGTTCTTCACCGTTCGATGCTTCTCAAATTAATCATTCTGAAATCTTTACGTTTGAAATTCCCGGGATCAAAATTATCGTTATACCTACTTTCCCTCCAATGATTAATTCCTCTCAAACGAATAATTCTGAAATCTTTACATTCGATATTCCTGGGTCCAAAGTTATCATTATCACACTTTCTTTTCAATGATTAATTCCTTTAAAATGAAACTTTCTGAAATCTTTAACATTCTCGGGGCCTAATATATTAATTTGATATGTTACCTTGAATATTGTAAACATTATTATTATCACAGTTAATTTTTTTTAATTATTATTCTTTTTATTTCATTCTTTTATTATTTCCTATTTGTAAGATGGTTATCAAATAAAGTATTTGTTAAATCTAAATCACATTTAATATTTATGATATATCGGCGGATTGATTCCCCTTTGCGTTAAAAGTGATTTTTAAAGAGATTTTTGAACCGACAGAGATTAAATTATGAGTTGAATAAAAATCTATGTTTGCGAAACTTAAGTATAAAATACCATTTCGCTAACAAAAACCCATTTCTTACCTACATAATTTTATCATGGCTAACTTCATAAAATAGGTTAAATATTATTCCGATCATATTAAAACCGCAGCCTTTAATTAACTATTTTATAAAATGTCATAAGTTGAGTCCTCATTGCGACCACCAATCCTTTATCATTATTCAGTTTAACAAAATCTTGACAAATCCTTATTTAGTAAGAAATATCAAAATTTAACTGTTTGTAAATTCTGTAATCAAATAGATTTCATAATAAAATAAAGTATGCCCTCATTGCAACTTATCAACAATATTCGGTATTTAAATATTATTCCGGCAAAACTTTTTTTTTACTTTTGTAATAAAATTTCCTTTTTATTAGAATAATAAATTCGATGGCTTCATCTAATATAAATTGAACATGAAATCCGAATCCTATATTTACGTAATATATTATATATGTTGTATCAGGTCTACATACTGTATATAAAAGAAAATTATGTATGTATGATTTTCTTTTGTTTAAAAAAAAAATCAAAGGAAAAAAGAAAAAGAAAAAGAATATTTTTTTGTTAATTTACATTTACATTTTAATTTTAGCCTGACAATAAAAATTTTATTTCAAATCAACCATCGTCTTTAATTCTTTTAAATTATTTGATTTTATTAATTCGATATGATTTTTTAATTTAATGCTTTTTTATTTTTATTTTTTTTTTTAAAAAAACATGGTATGCGTTATATAAATTTGTTTGAAATAAAGTAAAATTATTAAATTATTCATAAATTTTTTCGTAAATCCCAAGTTTGTTTCAAGTCTATCATGAAGGAATTTTTCATATTGTTCTATTTTTTTTTGAAATATCTTTTTTCTTTTGACACGTTAGTAGAAATTATCTGAAAAGTGATGAGAGGATGAGAGTAAAAAAAAAGTGTAGTGTGTCGATGGAATAGTTTATCGTTAGGCTCGCTATTTTGATCACGCTTGTTCGTATTTCAGTAATGTATTCTTCTTCCCAATCGTTATCTTTATAGTATTGAAGTTTTAATCGGGGATCAAGAACTAAAAAAAAAATATTAATAAAGTTAAAAATTAGAACAAGATTAACATAAAAATATAATAAATATACTTATAGATACATTATACACTAAGGCGGATGTACTGGCGGATGTATAGTGGTAGTATAAGATTGAAATTAGCGTTGAGAATTCACGTGCAAGATTATTAATTTTATTGGCTGATTGATACCATAGAAATTCCGTGGAATTAGCAACAAGATTTTCTCTTCTTTATCAACATCAGTTTTTTCTTTACGGAATTAACAGAAAGATGTTCAAATATTTTTTTTTCCGGTTTGCTCCTTATTATCTTTTTTTTTTTCTTTCTTCGTTTATAGGTAAAATTTTTTTTTTTGATTCTCCAAATATTTACAATTTAACGATTGTCGAGATCAATCCATTGCTTTTACATCCTTATTATCCTTCTATTGGCAGTAAATCAAATATATTTGTATTTTGGATATTGCTAAATCTCACCGGTGGTTTGATTATTATCAAAACCGGTGATAGCCGCCAAAAATTACAATTGGCCAGAGTTTAAAATGCCGGTTTATAAATTTGGCTGGAGTTAAAATACTTTTTGCAAAATTTTAACTTAAATAATAAATATATTAGTTAACAAAAAAACTTTTAGTAAAGTGAAAAAATGAAAAAATCAAAATTTTGCATTAAACAGCCTTTTTGATCTTAGACAAATCTCTTCTTCTTGTAAATTTACATATAGGATAACTATTTAATATGTGTAGTCAATTATTTAATTTAATATTAATCTTATAAAATTTAAAAATCGGACCGGTGAAAATCACCAGTGGTGTCAAAGTCGAATTTTGGAAATTTACTGATAGACAATATTTTTCTTATCATACTATAAACGGTGACCGTTAAACGTCCGAAGCGGCGTCACGCTGCACGTTTTTCCAAAGTGAATTCTTATTAGTGTTATATTTTGCAACGATTTGTAAACATTATCTTTATTGTCAAACTCAATTGTTATAAAATACCGAAATTAAATAATTTGTAATGACTATTTGTAATAATAAATAAAATTTCGTTAAGATTTAATCATTGAAATTAATCGCTTTTCTTCAGACAATCTCTCTTGTAATCTCTTACATTTTTTAATGCGTTGTAGTCATTCAAACGAAAATGGCTTAAAAAGTATATCATTAAGAGCACGGTCCCTGGAAATTGCCACAATTTTGCGTTAAAGATTTTAATTACGAAAATAAATTACACAAGAATTATGTTTTTTCGTTTATTATTAATGAATCTTAAATAACATGAAGAAATAGTTTAAAAACAACTAAATTTATTATATACTTAAACTAAAGTTTAATAAAGTCTAATTCTAAGCTAAGAGTATCGAAATTAAATAAGCTAATAGTATAAACTTAAATGAAGTACATGCAGTTATATATTATCACGTGTATATAAGTCACGTGTGGGACAGACAAACATTGCATGATTTTGCGTAGAATGTAAAAGTCCTCGGACAATAAATTCTTTTTTTAGTTTATTATTTATATGGCGAATCAATACATGTGTTATTGATAACAGAATTTCACAATAAACATATTACATCCCATCAAATTATATAATTTAATTACAATGTATAGTTAAGATCCTTTACATATATATCTGTCTCTTATACACATCTAGATGTGTATAAGAGACAGGTATAAAGTATTAATTAAATTTTTTTAATACAAAAATAGTAATTACGCCTAACTTTATTGGTGAATATTAAAAAAAAAAAATCTTAAAGAATGGCTCAGATACACACCTGTTGAAAATGGGGAAAATCATCAAATTATTAGTTGTGTCACCAGAGGCGCTATGTCAACGGAAATTTAGTACGTTGATCGCTTAAAAATCCGTGGCAATCCAATCATAACAAGAGGAATTAATTTAATTAATTTTATGGAAGTATTATTGTGCTACAGTATGACGTTTGTGTGTTTGTGAAATAGTTTGCCGGATATCCCAAAAGTTATTACTAAGTCCCCACATACACAAAACACAAGATTTTGTTTATTATGTTTTACGTATTTTATAGTAAAAAAAATAAATATAAAAGGCTCACTGTTTTATCTCCATCGCAACTAAGATATTTTAATTCATAAATAATAGATATAACAACAAACATAATTTGTAAACTCTATTAAAAATGAATAATAATCACTTTTTTAATAATGGATTTAATAGTAATTTACAATCTGAAATCCTTACATTTGAAATTCCCGGGATCAAAATTTTCGTTATACCTACTTTTTCTCCAATGACCAATTCTCCTCAAACGAATCATTCCGAAATCTTTACAATTGACATTCCTGGGTCCAAAATTATCATTATCACACTTTTTTTCCAATGATTAATTCCTTAAAATGAACCTTTCTGAAATCATTCTCAGGTCCTAACTTATTCATTTGATATGTTTACTTGAAACAAAATATATCGTACGCATTATTATTATCATATGATAGTTAATTGTTTTTTTTATTCTTTATTATTCTTTTTATTTTACTCTTTTATTATCTCCTACTTGTAAAACGCTATTTAAATTTCAAATAAAGTATTTGTAAAATCACATTTAATATTTATGAAAAAGATCCCTATGAAAGTATCAAATAATTACCGTATTTTGCGGTAAGTAAGCACCCCCCGAAAATAAGCACCCTGGCCAATGATAGGATTGAACTACTCACACTTCCTTTGATTGTTTCATGTAAAAGATCCAGCGTCAAAAAAGTTTCATGATAAATATTAAAATACCTATTTCAACTAAGGTATGTATAATGAATATAGTGAAAATTTATTAAAAAGTGGATTTATTTATTAGCAAATATAAAAAGGTGAGTTTATTGTTAATTAAAAAAGAAAGGGAAAATGTAAAAAAAAAAGCTTTTGTATTCTTAGATGCCATGTCTATTATTATTATTAAATTTTTATTTTGTAATTTACTAAGTAGTGAAGGCGTTATGATTACGCTAACTTCAATGGACGTGATATACTGGTATACGTGATATATAGATAATAATAATAATATCGTGCGACAGTGCGACAGTGCGTGAATTTCAAAAATTAAATTTTTTTTTAAAAAAAGGAATGAATAAAATATCAAAAATAGGTATATGTTTTTCTTGTAGATAAAGTAATGGAAATAGTTTATAAGGTTAAACATTTTACATGTTTTTAAATCTAATTATTAAAATTACTTTCCGTTGATTTGTTTATTTGATAAAGCAATTAGTATATCATGTGTTTTTTTAAAAAGATAGATTGATACATTGGATGATATAAAATATATAACCTAAAATATTAAATCACATTTTGTTACTATAAATATTCATAGTACTAGTCATGAAAAATATGAATTACAACTAATATAATTAATTTAATGTTTTGTAAGTTATTTTCTAAAAAAAATTCGATTCTTTCATAGTTGAACAATTGCGTTATTAATTCAAAAGATATGATTGCACTTTATGTATTTGAATGGGGCATTTCCGCGAGAGTAGTCCATATATCCAAATTCATATAAGCAATGGTAGACTTAATCTAAATGGAATTAATAAAAATATTATTAGTGATTTATGATCTTTATAAGTAAAAAATCTCATGAAAGAATACATTTTCAAGATTTTACAGCATTAATAGTTTAAGATATTGGAACACAATATGTGAATTATCATGTGAATATCAGGTGACTGATATTTATCGAAAAAGAATTTTTGAAAGGTAATTGGATCCTAATTCTACCTACTGGTCTCTGGCAAATTTCGGCCAGGGCCCCTGCCGAAATTATGTGACTGATCTCTTGTGTTTATTTTTTGTATTACTATTCTATAAATTAATAAAGAATCGTGATGATTCTTCACATACATTTATCATCTAATACCCAATGGAAATCCATGGGCTGTTAAATTTCACTATGCCAGAAAAAATAGTGTATCGCATATGCTGAACTGAGCTATTAGGTTTCCAAATAGTAGTACAATTTCAAAATTTCACTGTGCCCTTGTGTAAACTTAACTAAGCTTTTTGTATATATAGGGATTACAATATATAAAGGCCTTTTTAATGTAATAGTCATGACATATTCAAAAATCAATATGAGAAATAAGAAATAGAGTAATTAAAATTATTTTTAAAATCATTGTTATCTTTTTCAATATTAATTTTTAAAATATTAATATGTAGAATTTACACGTTTGTATTTTTGTGATTTTGGGAATTATATCTATTTTACTATCATCTATTTCACTAGTTATTTCTTTTTCCTATCATCTTAATCCTTTTGGTGATATGGTATACTTTTTACTTGTGCCTTCAACATTAATTGGAGATATTTTGTTTTTCTGAATATTTGTGGTGCCTTCAACGTTAATTGGAGGTACTTTAGCCATATTGTGGTATGGCTGGGTTCTCTCACAGAAAATTTTGTTGTCATGAACTTTTAGAGAAAGTATAGTATCAAATATTATTGTATATTCTATTTCCTAAACGAATGATTCACATCATTTATCCTTTTTAAAATTTCTATTATAGGAACCTGTGAGGTAAAATAAGCAAATATCATTATCATCAATTGTGCAGGAAAATTAGAGCATATAACTACAATAGCGACAAAAATATGTGGCAGGAATTGCAAAGAGTGGAAGTAACTCAGCAATTACAATAACGGTATAGTAATTTTCAAGCCAAATTCAAGGTGGATAGCGGTTAAGAATTGAACCACTAGCAGGTGATATATAATATAAGGCAGTGGGAGCTGGATTACATGTAGTTGGGAAACAAGTAGGCTTTACAAACAATGTAAACAATGTGCAAGTAGTTCTTTTATTTTGAATGTATAATACATTGTTTAACAACTGCTTTTCAAACAGAATGTTTTGATGAGAGAGCACCACCTGAAAGGCAAGGGTATTATAACTTTCTAACAGGTATAATTACTGTTACACATGATATGGGGTACTATGGCCGGTCGTTAGATATTACACTTGACGAAAATGTTAATAATCGTAATTTTAGACCCATATATCAATAAATTCTATTAATTTTAGCTGTATACGATTTTGGTAGCAGATTTCTTGTAAAGAAAATAGAAACCATCTCTATAATATTTTTTTTAAAAAAATTAAATATTTTTTTTTCTTCAAATGTTTGTTATATATTCATTATTGATTTGAAATTTAATGTTCAATATTTAAATTATAATAATTTATGGTTTGATAAAATAGTACTTTATTACAAAAAAATTATACTTAAATTGATTCATAAAATGGTATAAGGAAAGCTTGATTAAAACTCTGGTATCCGTTCACGATACTCTAATCTCAATCTCCATACTCACTCCAGTGGACATTATAGCTTGAAGGATCTTCATTTTCGCGATATGTCCATTCCTCAATAGAATCAACTTTGATTTGACAATCTGGATGGTTTTCATTCCACCATGCAACAAATTTTTCATGAATAGTGAGCCCTTTTGTTTGTAAATTTTCTTAATTTTGGAATGAGACATGAACATTTAGTCTGGCAGTCTCCAAGAAAACTGAGTTGATCAGATACTATACTGATACTGAGTTTAATCGTTATCGCTTTAGACTCTTCAGAATCACCGTCAGGCGAAATCGACCTCTAAATATCAATTATAATGGTTCAATATTCAGTAACACTTGAAAAGAAGCGTCGCCTTAATACCTTGTATCTGATTTTGGTGAGCACGGAACTAAGGACTTCAAAAAGTTTTCTCTTGCTCCGTTCATTTTACATTATAAAAACGACTTAAGGAGTACGATTACACCAATGTAGCGTACGACAAATGAATTATACTCATATACTCGGTATTTTTTTGCGCAAATAAAATTCTTTATTACCAAAAGCATTTCGCAAAAATAGTATATAACCCTTATGTCCAAAGGAAATACAATCGCGAACGCTTTCTCTGTTAAAATAAGTAGGGGAGAGCCTGTTAGCGAGCTCAACGACGCTATTAAGGCGAAAAAGGCACCAGAGTTCGATAATTTTACTACAGAAAGCTCAAGCTATGGAAAGTAGAAATTTCTGGCGGTCATAACGATCAGTTGCGGAATCTCTCACTCCAGGACAGTGACGAGCTATTAGTAATGAATGAAATAAGAGACTACTGGACCGAGAAACCACCTAAGAGGAACATTCATGTCGAACCGCTCGTGTCAAACGCCACTTCGAGCGAAGTGTTGGAATTAAGGGAACAACTCGCCTCGTTACGGGATTACTTAATAAGTCTATCTATGGTTCCACTTTTTCTTCGTATAAATTACTTCGAAAATCAGATAAAAAAATATGTTTGGCTAAACACCCGAAATCTTTTATTGAGGGGATTTATTAATCTGCCATTGCATTGCAGACTTCAACGTCATCGTTAGTCCGAAACGGATGAAGGGATTCAAATGGACCGTAGATATCGAAGACGCGACTCTCGAAGACCTCAAAGAATATATACGCAAAGAATGTGAACTATCAGCACTTGAAATGTAGCGGTATTAAAATTCATAAGTGATGGGAATAGATATTCACCTCGGAACGATCAAGACCTCTGTAAAATGCTCCGGCGATTCGTATCGAAGAACAATTTCAAGCTAATCGTAGTCATAGTGACAACCTCGAAACCATTTAACGAATAAAATTTACATTTGCAGAATACATTACATTTAAAAAGAAAAGTTCACTATGTGAACAAATGCTTTATTAATATATGTTTGAAAATACATGTGAACGAAATTCTGTTTTTTTCTGATGGCACACGGTGTCCGAGCTCGTCAAAATTGCGCAGAAGAGTACACTATCGCTTTAAGATTTCGGCAATTACATAATCTTTATCATCCTTAGTTAGAATAATATAGATAAATAAATTTATTCCTTAAAATTTATTTCATCGTCTTGATTGAGATCTATTTTTTTTAAAAAAAAATAATTATTATTAAAATTAAATTAATAATTTCATATATTTAAAAAACAGATGTCTTACCTGATTCAATCATCTGTCCACTCGCTTCGTTTATGTCCAGAAAGCAGTAAATAATATATAACAACTCATTATTTTTATCTTACTCTGAGAAGGCACACCTGAAAAAAATCTTACAATGAAAAATCACGTGCGCGTGAACAAATTGTTCACGCCAATCCAAGAAAAATTTCGATTGATTTTAAAGTGCTAAACTACAAGAACCAAATTCACACAAATTGTAATACCGATTACTTTTATCCATATTTACATTATTTTATACAGCAAACCAAACTTTTACCACGTAACTATATAGCGTAGTTTGCACCTAAATTCCGATTTCGACCTCTTTTACTACCTTAATCCTTTTCGTTTTTGGAGTCTTCTGTGTATCTGGAAAGTTATCTCCTCCTGCTTTGATTTCTTTTCTGTTCTTCAAGCGTCTCTTCAGTTCTATATCGCTAGAATAATAATTATTCACACTTTCTAAACATCTTTTAATTCGTAACTAAATAAAAATAAATCAGTCACTAATTGACATGGATCAATTGAATGCAGTTAATGGAACATACTTTTGCAACAAGCATGTCATTCACCATTGCTATTAATTCATCAACTTCGTCCAAGCTTTCTGGGATCTTTGTAGTAGGAAACCTACGTAGTCGACAAATTGACCCACATGGTATATCCATAACTAATTGCTGGAGATATTGACAAATAATAAATAGAATGTTTAATAAAAGACGAAATACTGTATAGGGGAATACCAGGTATCTTACCAGAATGAAGGAAACCCACAGCTTCTAATTGATGAGAAATTACAAAACTGAGGTTAAACCTCCTGACTTTTTGAACTAGTGTGTCTCGCATAGTTTTTGGTAATTTCTTAAATCCATCGGCCAAGAATTTGGTTCCGTCTTCCCCATCCCACAATTTTCCCTCTTCACTTATCGCATACTCTTCCGGTGTCCCCAACTTTCGTAAGATTCCATCACACTTACGCCCAAAAAGCTTTCGAACTTTTGAATCTTTTCTTCCCTTGTTTTTTCGTTGTCCTGAAGCACGAGAGCAACCTTCACCCCTAAAGGAAATTTCATTAAAAATTTTTCTTTATATTCAATGTGCTTGCTATATTTATATATAATGTACACTCACCGTATAAACTCTGCATCTAATACATCTAAAAAACAACTATCTACGATTATGCTCCAGAGGTTCGTCTTGAACCAACCCTCTAAGTGAGGATTAGAAAAATCCTGAGGCCTAAGTTCATACCGTAAAAGTCTAGTAATAACAAGTTTTAGTTCAAATAATATTGAAGATGCATGCAAAATTTTATTAATACTCACAAATGAGAAAAAACTTCATGAACGTAGTAATAGTCATAATCTCTCCGTGGGTTATAAGAAGATAAATCTATATCGATGTTGATTACCCTACGCAGATCTTGAGGATTATTCTAAACGACATAAACGTAACGTAATGGTTTATATACATTGCTATCATTGCTATACATTGGCGAAAGTAATTGATTATACTCACTTGTCGGTAGCGTAAAAGAAAGTCTAGCAGATTATCATCTACTTGCGGTTCTGAAGGAATATTACATTCTCTGATATGTTGCTGGTCAGGTTCACTGAAAAGATTCATGATTGTTTCATCACTTGTATCGATTATAAAACTGTGTAGATAGCTAAAAGCATAACTTATAGTTAGATTGTAATTATAACAAACTCTATGTATGCCTTAAATGTCTACCTTTCATGGTCCAAATTTATTGTATATTCATAAAGAATATCTTCAACGAACTTTCCGGAAGGTAATTTCCATTTGTTCTCCGGATGCAATTTGTGATACTTTGCTGAATATTCAGCCTTCATTTCGTCCTTTTACATGCAAAATATCGTTAGATTAGTTAGAATACAAATAATGATTAATACTACTACCTGAACTTTTTTTGCAATCGCTAGCTTGATTCGTTTAACTTCTTCCATCTTCGTTCTAATATTACGCCCACTGAAATCCTCATCATCATGATTATCATCAGAACTTTCTTCATCATTTTGACCAAGTTCTTCACTGTCGCTGACCTCGCTAACCTTGTCCTAGATATTGAGGTAAGTAAATTTATCATGCACAACAGAAGAAATATAACCCCGATTTTTAAATACTCACGGCAATTTCTGTAGTCTTGCCAGAAGTCTCGCCGGAGCCAACAAATTCGTCAAATGAGACATTAAACGTTTTGGTCTGAACCGTATTACAAAAAAATGATGTCAGTCATATCTGTACAAAATTCATTTGTTTATGAAACTGTGAGCTATACTTACCTTTTTGGTTGATGTTGCAGAAGCTGATTCTTCATCGATTTTTGAGACATTCCGTTTGTAAGAAGAGATTTGTTTTTCTTGCACCGCGAACGAAGTCTCCTTAAGATAGCGGAGACCTGTTCCTTCGAACTCTTTCATCCCTTCTTTCTGAAAATCAAAAATAAAGAGTTAGAAGAAATATTAGCACTAGAGATAGTTCTTGTAAAGGCAACCTACCCACTGCAATCGGGATTCTTCATCAACTATCTCGGATTCCATGATAATGTCTTCTAGATTCCAAAAGAGTTTTACCGAATTCGATTTTTTATCATCCTTTAACATAGAAAAGCAGATTAGAATAATCAAATACAACATGCAAAGTAATGCTCATGCAAAGTAATACTGCGTGATCAAACCACAGACAAGCAAGCAACTTTTGCCTTGCAAGCAAGCAACTCACAAGGTGTCTGTGCGAACAAGCAATCCGAAACTATCACGGACGAGCAAGCAACTCTTGTCTTATAAGCAAACAACTCATAAGGTGTCCGTGTGAGCAAGCAACTCACAAGATAGTCTGTTGAAACACTACAGCATTTCCCGTGAAAATACCAAAACAAAGTAACTCGCCTTAAATTCTTCTTTCCATTTCCGTGCCTTCTTCCCGATTTCAGTTGTTCCATCATAGTAACTAGTAATAGTATTTAGTTCAAGATTATATCGACTGTGTTCCATTTCTGGATCTTTTAAGTCACCCATACAGCGTCGGAAGTCTAAGAACTTCTTGAGCGAGGGATCATCTCTGTTCCGCCAAAAGGCTAAATATTCACAAACGATTACGTTAAAATAGAAAGCATTGTCATAAGAAATAGCTTCAGTCTGTCTTACCAGGATATTTCAGGGCGTTAATACATTCAGGACTTAGGTACATTTTTACGTCTTTATAAAGCTTTTATCGCGTTTTATACTCTCTGATTTTAAAAATAAAAAATTACTTTTTTTTATCTAATTTTTTCTAAAATTATTTTTTCATCATCTTAGTTTACTATATATGGTCAATGAGTGTAATACGATCACTAGCATGCAAAAATCACGTGCGCGTTACAATTACAAAACTACCGAATTTTTTCGGACGGGGGACCCTCGGATGCATATGCAGATCTCCGACCCACTATGGGAGGGTCGGTAAATTTTGATTACATCATAACACTTGCCAAGTACGCGACGACTGAAATTTTTTTTACGCAATTCAAATATCTATATATTCAAAACTTCAAACATTTATATTATAATCACTTCAATATAGACTTTATTTTTTAAAATATATAAAAAGCAAAATACATATATTTAAATTTAATACAATACACGTTAGAAATGTAATAACAAAGTATAGTATTAAAATATTGAATGTGAATCATGGCGGCGTTGTTTTTTTGAAGGTGATAAAGGATATATATTCTCTTTTAACATGTGTTTGTTCCTTTTTTCTTGAGTATTTCGTTCTTTCCAGATCTTATTTGAAATATCTCTTAACTTTTTGATATCTTCATTCTCATCAATTTTTTCTAAAATAAACGCCATTTCTATATTTAATTGTTTAGCGTCTTCTTTTATTCCATCAGGCACATTGACGGAGAATTGTTTTATACTTTTTGCAATCAATTCTAGTTCATTTAAATTAGCAAGCAATTTGTAGCTAATGTAATATGTTCTTGTTTCCAGATTGCCACATTATGGTTTAATGATGAATGTACAGGTTCTCTACTTTGATTTTGATTTTCTTGGTCATAAAGTGATAAAGAGAGTTTTTCGGGATCTTAAGATGATGGTGGTGGTGTTTCAGGATTATGAAATGTTTTTTCATATTCTTGTGTTGTTTCAGGATTATGAAGAGAATCTTGTGGTAATAGTAATAGTGAAGGTATTTCAGCGTTATAATAAGAATGTACTTTAAAAATGTAATGTTAATAAAAAAAGTTTAATTATTATTTTAATAATTTAATTATCATTAATTACCTTGATTTATTTCAAATTTTTTACTGCTTCATCTCTTGTAGGTAAAGAAATATATAGTAAATTTTGATGATCAAGAGTGTTGTAATATTTTGGATGAGGTGGTTGTAATCGCAACCAATTAATCCAAAGAATTGATGCTCTAAAATGTTTACATGCACAACTACGAAATAAAAAATCTATACATTGACATGTAATATTAGGAAGTAATTGAACAATATATATTTTTGGTTCAAAATGAGTTGAGGTGTCAGAAATCACCCAAAGATATAAGGTATTACCATTAAATTCTATCTGAATTATTTTTTTTTCTTTACAGATGCGTTCAGCAGCTTCATCCCGTTTAGAATCTGGTGTGTAGTAAACTAGTTGATTATAATGGTTTTCAAGCTGAATTCTTTCTTTTGGCGAAAATAATGCATAAGATTCATATCGCTTCTTTAATTGTATTTGCAATTTACTTTTCAGACTTCTTTTTAAAAGAATATTTGGTGTGCTACTTTTATTTAAAATTACACTTAAAAATCAAAGCGTAAAAGATGACCATTATTTTGAAATTTTTGTAATTGATGAACCTTTAATTCACTATTAAAAGATTCGAGATGATTGTTTGTTGTTGGAATTTGTTCTAATGGAACTTGTAATAAATTAGCCACAACAATTCTTCCATACTTGCACCACCCAATAGCTAAATCTCCACACCAATAATCACGAATGTAATAAATAAAATCTAATGCACCTTGAATTATTGATATTTTTTTAGATTCTGTTTCTTGATTTATCTTATTCTTTAAAATAAAAATAATTAGTAAGAATTAAGAAACATAATATCAAGTTTTATAAATAATAAATTTATAAATATAACTTTAAAAAAGCTTTTGCATCTATTATTATTTGAGTAAAAACAGTGGTTGGTATCATAATCTTACTCAGTAAAGGAAAGATTATGACTCATAATGTATTCAACTGAATTATTTCCAAATGGATTAGTTTTGTCGATAAATCTTTGAACATTATATCTGAATTTTTGTGACTGATCTTCCATTAAAAACTCTTTTTGAATAGAATTAATCATGGCTTACTTGTATCATTAAATCTATATCGGAAAATCTTAAATTTTGTTTTTGGAAAAACTACTCAACTGTGTTATATATTCTAAAATATCATAAAAAAAGTATAAAAATGCCAACATTCTCCATAACGTTAATTTAGTATATAATTCATGATCATCATTACAGGAATTGAATTACAAATATTTTTAATAGCATTATACCATACAAGCCAATGTATCTCATATAATCTTTTTATTTTTAAAAATTGAACAATCCAGAAGATCCTAAATTTCTTTTAATTGTTAAATACGTGAGCATGAATTTTTGAAATAACCATAAATTTTTTTAACTAATAATTCAGCTTCCTTATAAAACTCTATTTCTTTTCTTTCATCTTTACATGCTAAAGCTAACCTATGGGCTATACAATAATTTACAATTAAAGGTTACATATATACTCTAGAAAGTTTTGCTGCTACACCTTCATTTTTTCCTAACATAACAGAAGTTCTATCTGAAGCAAATGCTATAAGTTTAGATAGAATTCCTTTTTTTAAAAAAATATCAATTATAATATTTGTAATACTCTTTGCATCACATTTAGTTAAGGGTAAAAGACATAAGAAATGAATTTTGAATATTCCTTGTTTAGTTACATATGAAATATATATATCTAAATATTTAGTTATTGTAATATCTGTGCTTTCATCAATTATTATTCCAAATCCCACAACAGATAATTCTTTCCAGATTTTATCTTCAATAGTTTTAGCTATTACTATTAGAAATTTGTGCCCTAAAATTTCATTTGTATAATAAGTAATTGATCCATCAGAGAGATTTGGTGTTTCTGATTTTTTCATCATTTCAATAATGGAAGGTAAAAGTCAGAGGGGTAAATTATTTTTTGATAAAAAATATACAACTTACATTATAGTAATAATATGTCTTACATTTGCATCAGATAAAAAAATTTGATTTTGTAAAGATTCCATTTGAATATGTGCTATTTCTAGTTTTTCAGCATCAGTATAATTTTTACATTTTACATGTTCTTTAACTGCTGACTTTTTTAAAATATTTGCTGCACCTTCTATTAATACAATACTTTAACTTTAAAAGTAGTAATAGGTTGCAACCCTTACTATTACAATACAAATTAGTACTTATCAATTACATACTATATTTTTATTTATGGCTAATATCATATCTTTTATTTGCTTAATTTTGATGAAAATTTTAATAAATCATATATTATTATAATTGCTTATTTTTTTATTTTTTGGATAAATTGGACAATATTTAATTACAAAAATTCTTAATAAGATTATCAAATAAATTGTAATATTTGATCAAAAGAATGACTTTTAAAATATTTTTATTAGTGATATCATATATTATTTAATATAATTTATTATATCTAAAAAACAGGAGTTTTAATTGATAGTAATAATATATTAAGCTAATAAGGAATAAAAAGAGATATAATGAATATTTTAATTGGGATATCATAATATTATTGAAAAAGTGATGAACTGTGAAATATTAAATTGTATATTATTGCAAAGTATGGTAATTAATAAAATGAAAAATAAAATAACAATAATTGGAAATTATCAACATATTTTATTATTCCCTATAAAAATTTTTATCTGAATATTTCCATTATTTCTCCATGTCTTCCATAAAAATTCTGTAAAAATGATACATTCATGGATATCTGTGTTAGCAAGATGAAAATTTCCATGATTTAAGGTTATTAATTCCATGAAAATGATACATTTACAGAAAAAACATGGAAAGATAAAACATGGATCAGAATTTTTACAGTGATTGTGAATTTTTGTACTAAAAAATTTTATAAGGTTATATAATTTGATTACTTATTTTTAGGCAATTTGTAAAGTCATATGTTGAATTTGCTTATTTATCTTGATAAAAATCTTGCATAGAACTATTATAAAATTTTTGACCTTTTTTGTTGCTTATATATTGCTCAAGATTCTATTCATAGATAGAAAAAGTATTTAATAGTTTAAAAATAAAAATTAGGTTATATTAAATATATTTAATTAAAGTAAATTTAAATTTTACTTTTTATTGTATTATTGATGTGTTTTTATAATACTGTTTTCTAAAACTATAAATGAATTAATTAGAATCTAGTAAATTTAAAAACAAAATCTTATCTGGAATAATATAATATTATTTATCTTTTTGATATCAAATTTACATATATAACTAGCCAGTATTTTTTTTATTCCAGTACCCACTACAGAACATGGGACTGAAGGAAGCAAATTTTAAGTGTATTAATTAATAGTATCATGGAATCAATGATTAAGAATCAGAGCATATTATATTTTAATTTAAATTAATTTTATAAATTTTAAAAATCTCAAGGATAATATTTTTTTTACATGAGGTTATTATAAATGGTGTAAATCATTGTTAGAATGAAAAAAAATCAGTTTACCTAATATATTGTTTTAAATTTATTATTTAAAAAAAAATACTTTTAAAAAAATACAATAAACTAAAAAAATTAATGTGACATTCACATTATTTTAGGTGGCAAATTTTACATGGCTAACAAATGATTGCATATTTTTAGTTTTCTTTCATTGATTTTGATTATTAAAAGTATACAAAACATGAAACATGTGCATATATGTAAAAATCAGCACATTTTGAAAAAATTTTATTTTATTTCACTTCATATGGGAAGAAGCTCAACATGAAACAAAAAGTCAGTGGCTTCATAATGTATATTTATTTAATTTAACTTGGGAAGATAAAATTTTTTTTTTTATTTCTATATTTACAACATACATATCATTTTGAAATAAAGGTAAATAAATAAAAAAAAATTATCTCATCCATATTTATATACATTACATCATTTTAATGAACGGATATTGTAATAACTGCGGTCTAAGAAGGGGATTAAGCTTCAATATTTCCTAAGGTGATGAAAAATTATAATGTCATTGATAAATTAGTCACTGGGGACTTATTGATTAAATAAATTCATGTGTGTAAAAAAAAAAAAATTTTATTATTTTTTTTTCAATGGAACGCGAGTGGGAAGCTGCTAACGGACTCATAGACGAGTTTGCTGATGAGGATTTTGATGAGGGTTGTGACAATTCATTTTAACACAATTATTTATTTATTATTATTAATTAGGATTTTCACCAAATTATTCCTTTTAAAAACGTATATATTATTAAGCCTCAATATTTCCTAAATAATAAAGAATTTTACTGTGGCTGAGATTTTTTTAAATTAGTCGGGGCTTATTCATTTGTTAAAAAAATTTTTCATTTTACATCACAAATTTTTTTAATTTTTTTAATAAACTATAAATAAAAACCAAGTTTGCAGGTGGGAGGGTTTGTTGTGACAAGTTTTGCAACAAATTGTTCAACCCTTTGAGTAGGGGGGAAAGGAAGAGGTAAAGGTGGGGAAGAAGGTGAAGGCTTTTTAAGGTCCGCTTCTTCTTTTTTTGTCCTTGTCTCATATTACAAATTTTAGTATCTGAGGATCTCTTTGGGACGCTACTCTATTCAATTGTGATTAATGATTAATGAGTAATGAGTAATGAGTAATGATTAATGATTATTTAAAATTTCACCCAAAGTATTTCCTTAAACGTATGAGATCATGACCCAAAAAGGGTATTTATTGCAAGATCTTTGTATGGGAAGTTGGGAACTTCACGGAGTACATATATAAAAATAAATACACTATTACTTTAAATTACTTAAAATAAGCTAATATGATACAAATTATAATCTTGTATTTATAATCATAATAAACAAATTTTCATGCTTCGTATTTTTTGGAATTTTTTAGGAACATGAAATCATCTACTGTATAAATCATTTTAACATTTTTTATGCAGTTTGCTGATTTAATATAATCATATTAAACCAGTTGATCTAGGTTATAGAGATATGGTTAGATCATACCGGTATCATTAGGTTATAGATTTAAGTTAAAGAAGTAAGTTTCTATACAAGATTAACTAATGACCTCACCCTTTTAATGACCCTCGATTGCTCACCATTTTGAGAAGCTTCCGCAAGAAGTATAATGGATAGAGAAAACATATATACAAAATAAAAGCCGGAAGCCAAATAGAAAGTATTAACATTAGGTTAAACCAATACAACTAGATCGCAGAACGACTTCTTTAATCTAACCATCGTCATGTATCACGGGCTACATCCCGAACATTTGTATTTATTTTTTATCTCTGTATTAATAAAGCGGGGACTTTGTCCCGTTGTTCTACAACAAAGACATTTATCTTCAAGTGAGTGAAGTAAAAAAAATAACATTAGCACATGACATTCTTCAGACGTTCGTAGGGTGTCACATGTTTTACTAACCATATCAGACTTGTGAGCTGCATTCAATCTAAAGATTAATTTCTTAGCGTGTCCAATAGGACGAAGTCCTTTTATGAAAGAATAAATTTCACAGATAATTTCTTTCATTGCAGCAAATTTTCAGCGTAAGACCGGAAAGAGCTTACCTCTAGCCAATTTAGAAGCTCGTTGTAGTTGAACACACCCTTTGGATCTCTAGTGTGTTTGTTAACAACGACAATATGTATTCCGTCAAATATATGTTTGTATTTGTTAAAGTTCGTCAATGGTATGTACTGAGTCGGATTGGTTGTATACAATCCTTTAGTTTGGTGTCGATTATTTCTGGATGGTTGCTTACGTGCCATAGTTTGATAAACGATTAGAGATTATGATATGTTATTATATATCACATATCTGTCAAACAGTCAAAGTATATAATGCTCAAATAATAATAATTAATATAATGACGTAATAATTACTAAAAATGCGAGAAACTTCGAAATCAAGATTTTGATTGTTAATATTTGCACAATGTTTGTATATATGGCAACGGAAGACCAAACAAAATTTATTTGCGTACAAAGTATTTTTATTTATACATCCCATTTTCACAGTCCATCCTGGTTAAAAACATTAAAAGAAGAATGGCAGAAGGAGTTAATAGAGGAGTTCGTGGAGCCTTTCAAGTAAGTGGAGAGAGAGATTGCATAGAGGAAATGGTCGAAAAGTATTTAATAAATTTTTTTTGTATAGAACGGAGGGAATCTTTATTCCTTACGGCACCGACGGAAAATTGATAACCCCACCAGGCCTTCAGCCGATTCCTATGACAACGATCTGGGATGTTTTGTGCCTTTTGTGGAAGTATTACATCAAAAGGAGACAAAAAAAAGTAACACGGGCCTATCTTATCAAGATGCAAGAGGATGCGGAGGCTCACCCATCGACGATCAAAAGCACATATTCAACATAAACAAAGAGGATTACAAAAAATGCACGAAGAAAAAAAAAAAGAAGAATCGAAAGGAAGAAAAAAATACAGGAAAGGAAGTCTGTGAACCAGTATATGTTCGGAGCGTCACTCCGTTGCGTGAAGGCACAGACGAAACAAGAGGGGGCGCTAATATACCGTGTCAACAAAACAGCATCGGAGAGGAGAGTGGAAATGATTCCCACACTCTTTCAAAATGCCCCAATCACGGAAGAATATGCAGGCTGCAGTCAAGCTTGGGGAAACTGTTCCTAATCGGTACCTTGGATGGCTCTTTGTGGACAGACAAACTCCCGAAGATGCCATGTTACTTTGTATTCCCGAACGATACGACTAAGGAAAAATGCGATAGTTCTTCCATGTGTCAAATATCAGTTGGTACAAGCCTCAATAAGACACCACGTAATAATTCGCTCGTTTTAGTTGAAGAAATAAGTAAATCTGATTGTTACCGTGTAGCAACCTCTCTCAATCTTAAGCTTCATGATGAATATTCTCAAAAAGATTCTATGAAAGAGCTTATCTGTAATGTACAAGAAGTTGTTCGGTTTGGATTTACCCATATCATTTTTATTGGAAGACGTTATTGTGGAATGATATTTATTGATTGTTATGGCCGCGTATTCGATTGGGATTCAATGAATTATATATTATGGTTTCTCGGAGATTACTTCGAAATCACATCAAAGGGATTTGAGACCAGTCGGATAGCATGGTGTGTATTGGGCGATGGAACCGTATATGAATTAGACATATGTATGTATATTATGTATATTATATTTTGCTTATATTTTACCTTAATGTTTTATAACGATTTCTTTCTTGAATTACCAGAAAAACTCAACTTATGAAGGGCAAGAAAAAAAAAAAGAAAACAAGCAAGTGTAATAGGTTTATGTATACTACAAATCTTATGATCGGTATATTTTGCATTATTGAAGTAATAATTTACCCTGTATTAATGTATTGAAAAGCAATATGTACTGTACAATATATGAACAAAGGTTTGCTTTATTTATATTTGGAAAAATAAAATCGCAAATATTGTATTCTTGTATTACTGCATGTATAGTTTTTTTTGGCTAATTCTCATATAATTTACATTGAAAGAATAAAACAACATGAGATTTATTTTTATTTTTTGCTGTATCATGCATAACATCGAAAAATTTGAGCGGATAGATTAAACGGATAATATCATATAGTGCCCCAAAAATCCGAACGATTTGACCAAGTCTAAAAAAAACGACATCAGTTGCTAGTGCGCATGATATTTGGGAAAAATATTGTTCGGAACAAACGAAATAAAACAAGGGGAATATTACGGTAATATTCGTACAACTACAATTTGTACAGTTTAGCTGATTCGTACAGTATGTATACTATGTATACTTGAAATCATCATCCCTGCACTTTTCGTACAGTACAGTTTACATATACCATTATATACCAACAAATCTTTTTTTGCTTAGCTTTTTTTTCTCAATTTATTAAAAAAACTTCACTTTAAAATTACATTTTCGTGTTACATCTGAGAAAAAAAAAATTTATTCACTGCGCGGGGTGATTACGTAATTAAATTTTACTTTGCTTTCTTTAATTAAAAAGGAAATCATAAAGGTTCTTGATCATTTTGCTAACAGTCTTCACAAATTCTTTGACACTAGTAAATAATAAATGTTTTGTTATAAATGGGAGAGAAATTAAGTAAACAGTTTATATTTAAATATAAAGTATACTTTTTAGCCACGTTCTGCACGTGAGCCTTGATCCAATTCCACAAACTTTTGAAGAAACTCAATATCTTTTCAAAGAGGTCTTTGAGCCATTCGGAGAGTTTTTGAATTACCCCAGTCACCCAAGCAATGAAGTTCTGGTACTCTTTATTATTGCAGGTCAGAATAAATTAGTCACGTTTTTTTGTGTTATTAATTTTATGTTATTTACCTTCTTTGGCTTTTTTAAAATCTTCTTCACTAAGATAATCAGACCTTTTAGGTGCCAAGCTACGAACGTATTCTCGAGTAATATTCGAATAATTAATAAAACCTTGATTTAAATCATCAAATTTTTCATTGATATAGTCATCTAGCTGATCTACATCTTTATCTTTTAGTTCTTCTTGAATCTCTTCAACCTGGTAATAAACGATAAAAAATTTACACCCAAGAGGCTAAAATATTGTGTTTATTAAACATCAATAATGACTTACATTTTTTTCAAAGCTAGACTTTGAATATTCCTGAAATTCTTTAACTGACTCTTTCACTTTATCTACGCCATCGCCACGTAATCGGAGAGTAACAATGGTATTGGTAGTGGTAGACATTTCTACTAGCTTGCTAAGTTGGAATTAAATTGGTAATGTTTATATATATTTTACCATGGCCATCTGTGTGACAATACGATTCTCAATGTTCAGGTAAAATGATTTTATTGATATATTTTAATAAGCATAATTTTTACGCCCAACATGTCGCTACTTTTGCAGCTAGATTTCATGATGGATGATGACACATGATTTATAGGTCTAAATGTCTTCTTTCCTTGTTTTGATTGTTAAATTCCGTGTCGCTCATGTACTATCTAATACAAAAATTTTTTTTCATTTGACAATTACATCGTCTCCTTGCAAATCGCACATGTTATGTATCCAGAATCGTGATTATGAAACAAAAATACAATGATGTTTTCAAATCCTAAACGAACAATAAAGATAAATTCAGAATTTCAGATGGGCTGAGTTTGCGTAAGTCATTGACAATTACAATAATGTGAAAGTTGAATATCACAAATTCCAAATTCTATTCATAAAAATCATCGATCTATGTTTTTTCGATAAAAAACTAATAATTAAACATAAAAATCAATATTGCATAATACTTTTATCAATAATATAATACATACAAATATACTTTAAATAATTTATGAATATCATTCATTATCTGTTATTTGTAACAACAATAAAAATTTAGAATTTTGGATTTTTGGAATAAATTTTATTAAAAATGAATTTGATTTTTTAGGAAAAAATGGGAACATAATACGCGAATTGGAATTTAACAATCAAAAAAGGAAAGAAGATATATAGATCTATAAATCATGTGTCATCGTCATAAAATCTAGCTGCAAAAGTACTAACCTGTAAAAAAAGTCGATCCATCTTTTATATTCCATCTTTTTTCTGTAAAAGGTTCATATTTCCGGAATTAATAACCTTATATCCCGGAATTTATCATTTACATTTTCCGTGAATGAATTACGTGAAAGGCTCATTTTACGGAGTTTTTACAGAAATAACGGATAAAAATTTTTTATAGTGCTGTAGCGACATGTTGATGGGCGTAAAGATTATCCTATAGAAAATTTTGATCATGTCTGGGTTTTTTGGAATGAAAACTAGTAAAAATGATCATTTATCGGAATTTTCCCCAGAAAATTTTTTATATGGTTATTCTTGTTAGAAATATATTTTACTACTAACATTACCAACTTAATTCTAAATTAGCAAGCTAGTAAAAAATGTCTACCACCACCGCTACCGTCGAAGATAAAGTGAAAGGGTCGGTTAAAGAATTTCAGGATGCCTTCACATGCCTGGTATACAACTCTTGTTGCTCAAGACCCTCATAATCGCCATGCTGTACAATGGTCAGATGGTAGCTGGACGGTGAAAATTCAAAGTCTAGCTTTGAAAAAAATGTAAGTCATTATTGATGTTTATTGGATGTAAATTTTTTATTGTTTATTACCAGGTTGAAGAGATTCAAAAAGAGCTAAAAGATAAAGATATAGATGAGCTGGATGACTATATCAATAAAAAATTTGATGAATTAGACCAAGCATTTAAAAAAAAGTCTATTAGCATCCAAGAATCGTGCACTAGGGTCATAAGTTACAACTGTTACCAATTTAAAAATAATTCAATAATTAGTCACCTTTTATATGTAGTTTAAATATTAAAAAGTTCATAATCTAAGTGTAAAATATATGGAAAAATGAGACCAATTTGAACAATATATGGTCATAATTTTATCCATTTTACGTTCAAAAATATTATTAATATTTAACAATTTTATGTTTATAAATTGTAAATTATTTATAATTATCCATTCAATTAAATATAAATAATCTGTTTATTAAATGTACTATATATAATATATTGAGATTCCATTTATATAATAAATTAAATCCAAATGTACTATGAATAAAATCCAAGTGTACAAAGTATTTAAATACCAGCCAGATTATTTATTATAACACTATTTTTTGATAAATACCTTCAATCGGGCGGTTTTTAGATCTATGAAGTGTGGTTTGCTGCGGGACTGACTTTTATTTCTAATTCAACATAAAAAAATTACTAAATAATTAAACTGAGCAAAATAATCACACTAACCTACAATAAATTACCGGATTTCTTTAAAAATATTGATAATATTCTCACATATACAGTATAATCAGTATATGGCCATCATCCAATAAAAAACATTCTAAGAAATATGTCGATACAGGCATTGATAAAATAATATCATTCAAGTCATTAAACTTCCAAGTAGTACTTAATAAAATTTTAAGTCAATGCTTTGAATATTTTTTAAATCTTTTAGTTTTTTTTTTTGACTCGATTAAATTTGTCTTTTATCAATCAAATGATTTCACATTAACAATTTTAATGTTAAATACATCCAAATTATAATCGTTTCTTTCATCAATTCAAAGAGTTTTACGACTTGACATCTAAATGTATTAATATGAGTAATGTAATCAACAGCCAAAGCGTCAAATAAATCATTAATAATCATTATTCTTATCTCATTGTGTATGGCGGATACACCGATGGATTTTATACTTCCATCGGTGTATACATAATACCGATGGGATAAAATAATGACAATCAACAGGTCAAGATCAAATCCACTTCCTCAAGGAACAGATGTCGAAATAAATTAATGGTTTATTAACACACAATCATCGGGATCGAGATCAAACTCACTCATTCAGAAACGACGCCAAACCAATATCCAAAACTTAATCATTTTCTTTCGACAGGAAAATACATATTCTGTTCCAGATATTGTGACAAGAGCAATATTCCTGAAAATGTGTTCCTGTCGCAATAGTTCTTGGCAAATTAATTTTTAAAGTTATATGACATACAGTAGATGACGTTTTAGTCATTTAATCGCATTAGTAAAATAAAATAAATTATTAGTGACTTACTGACTTTAATTATATTATTTGTTGATGTTACAATACCTCCCAATTAAATATAAAGTAATAGAGAAAATTTACATTTGGTGAATCTATTAGTGCATCCTTCAAAGAACAAATATTAAATTTACATTATTGATTTATTGCATTGATGATAGATATATTAAACATTTATTGTTTTTTCGGCAAGTTCTTATATTTATGAATTATTATAATTTGAAAATATTATTTTTTACGTTATATTTTCGCTAATTTTTTCTTGAATTATAGATCAGCTCGTTATCGATTTTAAAAATGTATATTGTATTGTTATATTATCGTCATGGTTTTGGTACGAAATCTCGAAAATCATTTGAACGATATAATGACTTGTCGAGGATTTTGGATTGTCGAGATTTTGGATTGCAGATTTTGTTGTCGATCTTGTGTTAGTCGTTCAAGTGGCTGTCGTGATCGGATACCATAACAGTAATAATAATACAATGTATATTTATAAATGTGGTCAAAATATTTTTATCACTATTTATGTATATTTACATAATTTCATAATGATACAAGAAGAAAAGTACTTCACTATTTACTCTATGAAAAAACACTTTCTCCGGTCCATATGCACTAATAAAATTTTAATTTCAGGACGCGGAATAATCTTTTGTCACGCGCGTAATCGATCACGTGATAGTGACGAAACAATTGTGATATTCCGATCCAAAAACCGCTTTTTCTGGGGTTTACTAATAAAGTTTTAATTTCAGGACACATTGGCTTCTTCTGGTATGATAGCCCTTAGTTCATCAAATGCTGATGGTATATTGCTTGCACTTTGCGATAGATATTTTGCGATAAATGAAAGTGACAATCTTATTTGAACTCCTTACGCCCAGTAAATAGTTTTTGTATAAATTTGTACCAAATGGGCTCATCCATATATAATTGGCTCTAGATTGGCTTAAATTTGGATTACTTTTTGCATAAATTTGAGCTAATTTCGAGCCGATGAGCCCGTTTGGTATAGATTTATACAAAAACTATTACTGGGTTGGAATTCAGCATGTATGGTATTAATCGCAACAATTTCAATAGTAGTAGTAAAAATCATTACTTTTTCTTCGACTATGGTTAAATCCCTAACTAAGAAATCTGAACCATTTAAAGTTTATCGCATATTTTCAGGTATGATAAGTTGATCTAAAGATTGTGGTTCTATTGGATAATCAATATGTCAAATTCGTTTAACCGTTTGACGAAGAGCATCACGTGATGGAAGATACGGGTGGACATCTTGCGAAGTGCCAGCTACAATAGATTGGATAACCTGTACAGGATTGTCATTTGTTTGTTGAGATCTCTCTTTTAATAATTTGATAGTTTTCATAACTTTAACTCAGCTGGCTTCTGCGACTGCGAAGTTGATCTTTGGTTAATATTGTTGTTGCTCGTCCTTTGCAGTTTAACATATCTCGCTTTTCACAATACCAATAGTATTTATGATTTCTATTTTTGTCTTTGACCATAATGAAGACATGAACATTAATTTTATATTTATTACGAATAGAAGTAATAACCTCGCAAATATCCATTACTTCAATGAAAGAATGAAAGAAGAGAGTTTAATGAAAATAAAAAAAAAGATTTAATTTTATATAATATCTTTCCTTTATGTATACATTATTTAATTGTATTATACGATAATAAAAAAATTGTGGCTATTAATAATTACTAAATAAAAACTATTAAAAAAATTTTTTTTTGTTTAAGGTTATTAATAGTTAGTAGTTTTTTTGCATTTTATTAAATATAACAAAGAAATACGTATTACTAACAAAAAATATTCCCCCCATTTCATACAAAAGATATAAAGATATTTATAAAATTTTTATATTTAATTTTATATATATATGTCAGTAAAACGTTTGTCGGTGAAACGTTTTGTCAGCGAAATGATTGTCAGTGAAGTAATTGTCGGTGAGTTACTTTGGTAATGTAGGCTCTCACGTGAGGAATAGTAATTGTTTCGATTTTTGTTTCTAGTCCATAACTATCCACTTCCAGAGTAACCAACTACTGTATCGATGAGAAGAGAATTTCCTTTTACTGTTATATTTTTAACATCGTAATTTTCCTTAGTATTAAGATAACATCTTAGTGCATTAAGCTAAAAATTAAGTAACATATGTATTTTGTTGTCTCTACAATTTACTTATTAGACACAATTTATAGGTTTAGAATGCCAATTTGACTTTTATATAGAGAAAGTTTTAGGCATAATTTTATTACCAAAAATTCCATTCCAAAACTTCTAATCAAAAGATCATTTAGTAATAGTGTTTGTATAAATATTATAAATATTATACTCAATTTCATGCTGAAGAATTGGCACAATCAAAAAAAAAAAAAAGAAAGCTTTAACTAAAAAAAATTGCAGCACTCATTTATTCAGAGTAAGTATAATCTTTTTTACTATTTTGTCTTTTATTTATAAGTACAATACTAATTTTATTTACTATTTCTAAAGTACCAAATATTAAAAATGCAATGTGTGTGGGAAGGATTATTGCAATTGCTGTGGTAATCATTGTTATAACGAAGAAACAATAGCAGATTTGTATTATATATCTTATATATCCTTACATGTTTATATGTTTATATCCCAATTCATCATGTACTTAATGATTTTACTGTTTAACACATCCCATAAACAGTATTATTATGGTTATTTTGGATACAAAATAATTTTTTATTTATACGATAATGTTTGATCGACTGAACAATGGAATAATCACATGATAACAAAGTCAGATAATATTGGTTTGCTTATTTTTCCTAACTATTTGGGGTCTAGATATAAATTTGAGTACTGATGTTTAAAAACCCGCTAAATTTTATTATCCCCTGACCTCTACAGGGGTTCCGTTGTCACACTAGCTCAGGAAAAAAAAAATGCAAATTGAACTTTTTATGGAAGGTCGACAATTCAAAAATTAATATTTATTATTCGTTTATAAGCCACATAATTAAAATAATTATACATTGTTTCTCATAGTCGATAAATGATGGTATCTGATCCCACACTACCCCATTATATAAATTTTTTTTATATCTTTCAAACTGAACTTTTTATGGAAGGTCCTGTATTCGATATTTCAAGAATAAAAAAAAAATAAAGTTTAATATTATTTATTATATAAAAACGTGGAACCAAAAAAAAATAAAAAGTTAATATTTGTTATATTTATAGTAAACAATAGATATAAAATTTCGTACTTTACCGTTACGCATGTGTCATATAATAAGGGTAAAAAAAAATTTATTTATTTACGATTTATAACACACATACATTTGTATATAACATTACTATATTAGATATTATAAATTTATTCTTAATAAAATGGTTGGTTACATAATTTAAGTGTAATCTGGTTAAGATTAGCAGAAAATACTATATTAATTTGGCATATATTTTTGTTGACATCACGTGGTACTTTCATGATGTCAATACGTCCAATTTTTCTTCATCAGTGTAAAATTTTTTGTGGTGTTTATTATCCAACAAAAAAAACTTTACTTTTGGTAAACTACAGATTTCTTGATTTCTTGCCAATTTAAGAAGTATAATATTCCTTATTATTATGCAAAAAGGTAAGAAATATTGATAAGAAAAAGAATTTTTTATATTTATTAAAGACGCCTTGCTTTTGGTCAATGATATTTCACCTGTCGGTCATAAAATCATCATTCAATCACAATAAATATACAGTATGATTATTATTTACGATGTTACGATGTCCAAAGGAGGCAAGTAAATAAAAATCCTAATGAATGAAAATACGCCCCAAATTAAAACACAGATAAACAATGATTTACAAAGACTGAACTTATTTTATATATGATCACGTTTATAGTAAAATAGTTGAATAGTTGAATCAAACAATGTATCTTATTTGAAAATAGTAATATAAAAATGAATATAAAAAGAGTTCATTTCTCAATTCCCATAGTTCACAATAGTAGATGCAACAAAAAACAGAACCTTCAATTTGTAAACTCTATCGGCAATGGATAATAATGATGGATTTAATAATGGTTTACCAACAACTGATCCCAATTCAAATTTTAATTACAATTACGATAATAGTAGTTATCCCATGAAGAATGAGGATGTTTCCCCAGCATCTTATACCAATACACCTGGTAACGCTGTATCTTCTTACCCTACCACCTCATCAGATCTCCCACACCCCTTACTGCAGTATACTCAACAAATTCAACAAGTTCAACAACCTATTTATCAACAAAATACTGAAAATAATATTCAACAACAATTCTTCGACGCTACTCAGCCTATTCCCCAGAATGTACCGCATTTCATTCAAAATAATTCTTCCCCATCGAGTATGACCGATTCTTCACAAATTAACCATACTAAAATCTTTACATTTGATATTCCTGGAATCAAAATTATCGTCATATCTACTTTTCCTCCAATGATTAATTCCTCTCGAACGAATCATTCTGAAATCTTTACATTTGATATTCCTGGATCCAAAGTCATCATTATCACACTTACTTTTCAATGATTAATTCCTTTAAAGTTTAAAATGAACCTTTCTGAAATCTGTAACATTCTCGGGACCTAACAAATTAATTTGATATGTTTACTTGAAACTCACAAAATTTATTGTACGCATTATATTTATTATAGTTATTTATTTTTGTTCTTTATTATTCTTTTTACTTCATTTTTTTATTATCTCCTATTTGTAAGACAGTATTTAAACTTTCAAATAAAATATTTCTTAAATCATACTTAATTTTTATGAAAAAGATACTCAAATTGGAGTAAATAATCATTACGCAGCAGTTGTTACGATGGTACATTTTGATTTACTACTTGACTACTCACCCTTCTTTTGATTGTTTTTGGTTGTTATATTTTATGTGAACCTTCCAATATTCAATGTGCGGAGTGTATGCGCACAAAATTTTTTTTAAAAACTCGCACATGATCAATGTGCACATGCGCACATAAAAAAATTTCAAATCAGGTTCACGTGATTTAAAATCTGCAGTATTGAAAAGTGTTTTTTATTTCTAAGCTACTGTATTAATAAATATAAAAAGGTAAGTATTATACATCAAATCATAATTAAAAGCAGTTAAACCATCTTTTTTAAACTATAAGATAATTTGAATTTTTCGGTTCCCCTTTTTTTAAATTTCTTTTTTTTCTTGCTCCGTAATTTATAATGTATCACAAGGTATGCATATTCAGTAACCCCCAAAAAAAAACGCCCCTTTGGTAAGAAATCATACAATATCTATTTTTTGATTAGCCCGTATTTGCAGATTAAAGAAATTAACCAAAAATTATTATAATTTCGTAAATCTATTAAAAGTTCAAATTAAGATTAGATACTTACTTTATACAAAAAAAATAATAAATTTTATTGATAATTCTTAGGACAAAGCTCAAGTATATTGATTTAACATAATAAAGTTTATAGGAGCAATTTACCAATTTACCTTCATTGTTTCTGATTAGATAATAATATACTAGATAAGAAATAGGATTTTATTATTAAAAAAAAAATCATTTGACTAAAGTAATAAAATCATACTTTAAAGTTATTAAATAATATAAATAATATCTAATATTAATAGTACATAAAATATATTGTTGATTTTCTTAGAAAAAACCTACCTGAATAATAATAAAAATACATTATTATTGTTTTACCTTCGGCGCATAGATAGTAGTAAGATGCGTTGTCACATCCTGAAAACTTTAAGGTCACGGCCAAACGTGTCTCCCAAGATTATGTTCGGAATATGTGCACAACATTTTAACAAACATACCAGGTACAGGTAATAATATATTTTAAATGAGGTTATTTATAGAAATGATAATTTTTCTCTTTCAGATATAATAATATTTCTTTTGAACCGGAACTTTCTATTTATAGGAAGTTATAATATCAAGCCTTTTATCTTATTTCAGAAAAATTTTCAATTATTTGATTTACAGATGTAAATATTACAATTGTCATTTATTTAATTTAGGAACGTGATATTAATATCAATAATTTTTTTTTTTGGTTACCCTATAAAAAAATATTGTCCAAACACTGTTCGGTTTTTTGTTCGGAAAATCGACCCCGTTCCGAACATTTACTTGACATTTATTGGACATTCATCATGATATTGTACGTTTTTTATGTGGTTAAAAATTCCCAATATCCGTATCTTGTATTAAATTGTAACAAATATTGAATAATAGCGTGCGAATGTCCGGAAAATTGACTCCATTTCGAATATTTATCGGACAAACATTTTTTGTAGGGTTATGAAATCGGTTTAATTTACAAAATGTAACAATATTCCTTACCAGAAGCCTTTTTAACAGTTATGTCATTCATTTAATTTTTTATAATTTAAAACTGGCAAAAAAACTTTTATTTCGAATATACTATATCAAAAAGTGATATATTAATATGCCTATCAGACGTCCCAAGTTCATATATTGACAAAAAGGTTATCCAGGTTATACAAAATTTTTGTAAATAAGGAGATGATCAACATTTTATTTGGAAAGAAAATCAATTCTAAAAAATATGCATGATCATATTTGGCTGCATAAAAATTTAGTTTAATTTGATTACAGTTATGGACATTCATTTAAATGATCATTTTCAACCTGTTAAAACTTGATTTTAAAATTTCTGCTAAACTATGTCGAATATATGCATACCATTTTTAATAACGTAGGATGATAAAAAAAAAGTTCATTTTCATTGTCACATCAAGAATTTTACTTTTTTTGATAACAATTTTTTTTTTTTTTTAAAAAAAAAAAATCGGAAAATTTTCCTTCTTTTTACCGGAAAACAAAAGTTTTCGCGTATTTCTAAAAAATACGCATAAAAATAATAGTTGTGGCATTCATTTAATGACGGGATAACATCATCATTTTAAAACTTGATTTTTTATGTCGAATATATGCATACCCATTTTAATAATGTAGGGTGATAAAAAGAAAAGTTCATTTTCATTGTCACATCAAGAACTTTACTTTTTTGGACTTTTTAAAAGCACGCCTTATTGTTTGTGGCTGGTTTCCTTGTTATAAAAATAAAAAAAGATAAAAATAATATAAACGGAATTATATATAATTATCAAATATGTAATGAATTATACCAACTTTTATCATTCAAATGGAATAACTTTTAGACGGAAAAAAATTTTTATGGACAAAATCAAAATTTGTGTAACTCTCCAAACAATTGTACTTTATACTTTATTTAAAAATAAATAAATATAAAAGCAAGAGCTCACAATCAGAACTTTCCACAGAAATCAACTGATTTTATAAACTCTTAGCAAATGGATAACAATTATAATAATTGATGATGGTGATTTACCGCAAACAACAGATTCTCAAACAGAAAATCCAAATGCATCCGCTAACGCTACTACGTCTTCGTATTCTCCTATCACCTCATCAGATCTCCCATACCCTTACCGCAGTATACTCAACAAATTCAACAAGCTCAACAACCTATTTATCAACAAAATACTGAAAATAATATTCAACAACAATTCTTCGACACTACTCAGCCTATTACTCAGAATGTACCACATTTCATTCAAAATAATTATTTACCGTCCGATCCTCCTCATATTAACAATTCTGGAATTATTCCGTTTGAAATTCCCGGGATCAAAATTATCATTATACCTACTTTTCCTCCAATAACTAATTCTTCTCAAATAAATAATCCCGGAATCTTTACATTTGACATTCCTGGATCCAAAGTTATCATTATCACACTTTTTTTCTAATGATTAATTCCTTTAAATTGAGCCTTTCCGAAATCTTTATATTTAACATTTTGTTTATTATTTTTTTTTATTTTTTATTTCATTCTTTTATTATTCCCTATTTGTAAGATGGTATTTAAACGTTCAAAATAAAGTATTTGTTAAATCTAAATCACATTTTATATTTATTTAATTGACTTGACTATTTGATTGGTTTTTATTGTTATATTTCTTTATATATTTTTATTATAAACTTCAAGCCGGAACGAATTTCCGTTGTGTAGTACAGGACCATGTGTAATCAATTATATACGGTTAATATGATCTTCACATTGTACATAGTTTAATATATGTACGTGCCAAATGATGTCATATTACAAATTTCATATGTTATGTCATGTGACTTAATGAAAAATATCCGCCGATTTGCGGAATTTGCCGATCATCAGGTATGTGGCGCAGTACTGATTAAAATCGATCAAAAACCGTTCCTACGTAATAAACTAACGAATCCAATTGCTAATATTCGAATCCATTTTTTATTTTCACGTATAGCTGCATCGTATCCGTAGTTCCAATCGATTACATTGTTTAGAATAATTAATAACAATATCAGTTATTACCTTATCCCACAACAATATTTATTATTATCGTTATCTGCACTTTTAGTAGATTTGCAACAGGAGAAACCACTCACTACAAAAAATCAGTAAAGATTTTAATTAAAATACATAAGAAGTACTTTGCATTTTTAAATTAATAACTCACCGCCCAAGACGAGCGCAACTAGATATCTTTTTAAAAGTAGATGTGTTAATTAATAAATCATTCAAATTATTAAATAATAGTAATACCTTTTCCTACTTACACATAATCCATAGGATGTAGTTTTAAATTGCCATCTGTCTGATTAAAAATGGCGATCTTCGCAACCTCTGATTTTTTTTTAAATAATTAAAAATGTTTCGATCAAATACTCAAATTTTATCAATAAATAAATTCTCACCTAGTGAAAATGAAGCAAGTCCAGCAAAGGACAAGATAAGAAGTATTATTGCTATGAAACAAACGCCAAGTTTTGCAAAAAAAACCATATCTGAAAAAAATTTATTTTGATTTTTTTGTAGAATTGTAGAATTGTAATCCTTTAAATAATTATCGGCGTGTATTGTAGGTATTAATTCTTTGGTGATACAATCGATATCGTTTATTTCCATATAAAGTTAGTCCGAAATCAATACTGTATTATATCATATAGTGTATATAAATCAACTTTCAAATCAAAAAGTCTGATTTGTCTGATTCTCAGTTAACTGCTACTCCAGCTGGTGAAAATTTAATATAATTAACCTAGTTGTATTATATTTTTTTAAGTGGAGTTCTAATTTCCTTGGCGATCATGAGTAAGTTAGTAAGTTTATACGTTCAGTATATCTTCAGTTGATAACGTAATTATATTTTTTTAGTTTTGTATACTATTTTTACAAAAGATGAAATGGGCGATCCATTTTTTTGTCCTGCAAATTATCCTTATACGTCACATTTAATTCGTATTGCATGTCAAATAAGGGCCGCAAATCTGTTAATAATGTGGATATCTTCTGCTTTAGCTTTCTTTATTGTTATAGCAGCACTCGCAATTTCTTATTGTTGTTGTGCTGGTAAAGACAACTGTTCTAGTGTATAGTAGTATAATCTTATAAGTGAATACCTAATTCTAAATACCTAATTCTAAATACCTAATGATTTCATTAAATATTTTTCTATTTTTACTTTCATTATTATCACTCCTATCTGTATATGATTCTGATACAATCAATATTGAATCAATTGATAATAAAAATGCTTTAGAATTTTAATAAAGTACAGCAATAATTCGTTGATTGTTAAGTATTTGTTGTACAATGGCTTATTTTGCACTATTAATATTTTATTAATATTTAGGTTACATATACAATATCGATATCGATATGTAACCACTAAAAATTGCAACTGTTTTGTTAACCAAGTTTTTTTACCTGCACGATCCATTACTAAACTACTTAATCGCTTACAACTTTTTAATAAGTGAATCAACTCAAATAATATAAATAAGCTTTATTTAATAAGATCATTTAAATCCTTAAGCTGATTTCCTTTTATTTAAAATAAGGGGAGGTGTACAATACTAACGTACAAACTGGCCCGAGTTTAGGAATTATGCACTTGCACGTGATGGCGTTAACGTTAAATCCAGCGTTAATATCCAAAAATACAATACTGACATTTGGTTTATAATTTTTTCCAGTCTAATATCACGTTTCGTAAATGTGATATAAACCCATTTTTAGATGCATGCATATTTCAAGATTAATATAAAAATATAAAAATTTTCGCTAATAACGGCAAGCTCATTCATCTAATCTTACAAAAAATGTGAGTTGTTTTAAAATTATTTTATGTTGAATCAATTTAAATTTTTAAAAATTTATCGTTTTTCGTTATAGGGAAAATAAGAAAATTGGTGTAAAAGAATTAATTGACATGTATGAGAGTATGTATTCGAAAAGAAACAATATTGCTAAGACCGATTACAAAGAAAAACCGAAAGGTTTCGTAGAGGAAAAAAAAATAATATATGAGAGTATTATTCCAAAATCAAAGGAAATGTGAGACAAATTTCTAATTTATACATTTTGTTAGTTTAATTTATCATTAAAATAAATATATATATATATTTTTTAGTTCGAATAACGTTAAAGCCATTAGAAATATTTCTAGTAAAATTTTAGTCAAAATGGAAAATTATAAATTTTGAAATTTTTTGTTTGTGATATTTTCGCGTTAATAAAATATTTAGTAAAGTTTTTGTTATTCAGAATTAAAATATTCGTCTTGAATTTTTGCAAGTATTTTTCAAAATCGGGCATAAATACATTATAAAAGAAAAAGTAATAAATAATTGTTATGTTTATGCATTGCTGCATTATCATTTCTTAAGTATTCAATAAATGCTTGTTGTTTCTGACAAACTTCTGCCAAAGATTTAATAGAATCGTCGATTTCAGAATTCTTTAGAGAACTTTTAGTGACTTCGATTTCATCTTTAGAATTCTTTAAATCGTTTCAAGGTCACTTTTAGTGAGCAAGAATTTTATATCACAGCATACTTAAAGATTTTGTTGTTTGTGATTTAGCACTTGAAGCATTTTCTATAAATTTGAATTTTGCAATATTTATTTGATATACTTACGTTTTCAAGAATGTGTATTGATATGTCTCCTTAACGTTTGAATACACTAATCAACTTCCACAACAAGACCAGTTGCAATATTATTTTCTATTAAAAATTTAATTAGGTCTCTATGAGATCTCTCAACCCTTTCTAATCGAGTTTCTAGATCTATTACTCTTTCCTAAAGTGATCTAGTATAAGAAGCGGATGGTTCGATTTCCTCAACAAAACTCTCCTCAGAACTTTCGTCAACAAAACTTTCTTCAACAGTGACAACAGGGACAGTTGATCTATTATGTACCACCCTAGTTTGTCGTAGGGTGTTATTACGTCTCGTTCTTGACGATAAGTTTATGTCTTGGTTTGTGTCATTATAATAATATCTAATTGTATCATCATCAAGGGTTTCAAGTCGAGCTTGAGAACCAAATTGTTCGACAATATCGCTTATTTCTTGGGTTATTCTTCTAGGGTTTAATAATGTTCTTTCTTGCTGAAGGATTCTTATTATGAAATGAATCCTTAGCGAATCTTTGCGTTCATGTTCATGCTTAGTGGGTTGTCGAATAAAACGACCTCTTATTCGACAATTATTATCAATGTCATTCGAAATAAAATTGTAACATTTGGAGCAAACACATCTAATTAAATTTAATGCCATTTTGTTTTTTAAAAAAAATAATTAAAAGAAGTTTTTTTTGAAAATTTATTTATCTATTATATAGTCATTTTTGAGTAACTATTATGGTAAGTTACTTTTGAAAAATATTTATTGATATACAGTAATTTTGATAACTTGTATAATTATTGAGCCGTTTCAAAGAATTCAAGAATCAATTATTTAATAAGCGAGACGCAAAAGCAACGATAAAGCAGATATTACAAATTTACCAGTGCTTTTTATTAGTAGATATTGTGAATTATTTCAATGCATTACATATTTTTACCAGTGATAAAAAGAATCAAATTTGTTCGTTATCTAAAGACATTTGCTTAAAAAATATACAGTATCTTATCAATATAAATTAAAACTCAGAAAATTCAATTTCTATCACTTACTTTACGTTACATTCTTCGGTAACTTCTTCGGTAACTTTCACAGTAACTTCTATTTCGAAATAATACAACTTCACCAATTCAATATTTGATGTGTCATTTTCAATAACTTTAAAAATTTCCTTTTTTAAATTTTTGTTATATCTTTTTTCTATTGATTTTGTCCAACTTTTATCACGTTTGCTGAATCGGGTCATCTGAAAGAGAATAAACGAATATTGTGCGCGCAAGGTAATTATAAGGAAGAAAAGGTTGGAATAAAAATGGGATTGTACAAAAAGAACGAATTACTATTACTTCTGAATACGAAAACAAATTAAATAAAACAAACAAGAGAAATAATAGCAAGTGGTGGGCTTGAGCGTGCTGTTAAGCGCTGAAGTGCCTAATCTCACCTTATTGATCTAATTGATAATTAATTATGTGTAATTGTCTTATTCAGTATTTTAATTTTATATTAATGAAAGCTGAAGTTGAGTGTATTTATACAAATTATTTAATATTTCAGCTAAAGTAAATTTACACGTTTTGTCGAAAAAAAAAATTGAATCGATAGTCTATTAAGTATTAATATATGAAATGCATATAATTCACAAGTATGAGTATATGTACGAAAAGGGACGACAAAACGAAAGGTTTCGTAGAGAAAAAAATAATAATATATGACTCAAATCAAAGTTAAATTTATAATTTATACATATTATATTAATTTATCTTCAAAATAAATACTGTATTGAAATTTTTTGTTTGTTAACGTGCGTGATAGTAGTGATAACTATGGTGCAATGTGACTCATTTAAGCTGACAAAATGAAAAATAAATACATTATAAAAAAAAAGTGCAAAACCAAATAATAATGTTAGCCGGTATATACTGTTTAGTTTAATTTTTGTAAAATTTATATTTAACATCTATATTCTATTCTTTAGTAGTAAAAATAAGATATTTAAACACAAGCTCCTATTACATGTATCTATCGCCGCTTTAACTTTAAAATTTCTATCTATAATATTGATGGTTTACTCATATCGTATACTAAACAAATTTAATATATCGTCTAAATATATTTCACATATGATTATAAAAAAGTAAATGAATACTAATATAAAAAATTTATGATCTGTTGTAGTTTTCGATTGAGACACGGTATATCCAGTTATCTAACATTATATTATATCAGTAAATAACTCTTTAAAACAGTTAAAAAGAATAATATTATAAAATTAAGTTACCAAAGTTATAAAGTGAGAATAGCGCTCGAAAATATTTTCAAAGGACAATAGAACTGCAAGTGTAAAAGTACCTAAAATAAATAATTGTTAGAATAATGTTCATTAACCCTCATATCAAATAATTCGATAGATTTTTTTGTGCCAAAATGATGATCATATCCCGGAATGCATTAGATCATTGACAATCATATCTTAAAATAAAAAATTATGAAAAATTGTGAAAAATTTTGCGTTTTTATGGATTAGTTAGTGCATTTTTATGGATTAGATTTTGCATTTGATCTAACCATAAGTCCAAATTTGGATGAAAAAGTCTCTGATAATTTTATATATATGTTAAAATAGCTTTTTAGATTTTTTTCGCTATTAAGGTTGATACGTCTTCCAGTAGTCCATCAGGTAGATGGGTGGAAGTTGTTTATGGGTCGGCAATGGGATTTAGATCGTCTCGTAGAGCAATTAATTCTTATCCCCCCACAACTATTTAGTAACTAGTTAGCTAGAGCTTTATTTTTGTAACTCGCGTTTTGTATCTTTATTCTAAAATTAATAAATATATGAGTTGAAC